TAAAAATTCAAATACATAAAACATATGATGGATGGAAAAAGACATCCAAAATTCACCACCCAGAGGTGAACACGGTGGCCGACAGTGTGACAAACATCCCTCAGCGTCTCTGCGCCAGCCCTTCCATCGCTTACTGAGGGGGGCTACTGTGGGATGTGAGGAAGTATGCTGATAAAACTGTTTTCTCATTCTGAAAACAAGAGTATTTTTTTATTAATAAACACATGTAAACAGGATAACTCTAATCATTTTTGTTTAATTTTGGCATATCTCTCCAGCCTTTCAAATACTAAGTATGCTGTGAGTCTTTTACATAGTCAAATCAGGGGATTTAGCTGGCAATCTTTCATGGGCTTATCTGACCACTTATCACGGATTTCTGTTTTTGGAGCTGAAATTAACATCTGAATTCAAGTTAGAAAGGGTTCAGGATATTAGTTCTCTCTATAAATGTTCAGATATTATCTTTGTACCACCAGCAGGTAAGCAGACAGGTAAAATTCCTCCTTGTACTTACATCTTGCCTTTCCCCCACTTCAAATATTAGTATTAGTACATCACTCACTATATTCTTTTAATAAAGTTGTGTATAGTATATTTCTATAACTTCATGACTTTTGTTCTAAACTTTTAGTCTTAGCTAGACACTCTTCCAAAATTCCTTTCTCATGAGTTAATTTTCTACTGGTAGTACTGGTAGTTTCTCAATATAGTGTGGTTCTCTGCTTCATGATCTAAGAGATATGTATTGTTGAAAAAAAATATACTCTTACATGGCAATGTTTCAGTTATTGGTTTTATGCCACTAAATTGTTCTACTAAGAGCAAAGCTATATATAGTTACTCAGAGTTATTACCATACTTTGTGCATTGGTCCACTAATTCACTAACACTCAACTCAACACCTGTGTCCTAGATTCAGGGAACAAATAGATAAAGAAAGCATAACCCTTTCCTCTAGGATTTCCAATGCTTGAGAGAGAAAATGAGATTGTAGACAAGCCAGATAATTATAGCACAATGCACTGTGTGCTGACAGAAGTAAAAACAAAAGTTAAGCAGGAAAGCAGGGGAGCATAACTATGATTTCAATGGGAAAATATTATTATAAAAGGCTTATAATGAGGTTCCATTTAAGCTGGTAAGGAAACTTGGCAGAAGAAAAATGAAATGACTTCTAAAATCTTAAGTATTACACCTAACCTCTTTCCACTGATTTTTTTTCTTGGAAAGATAACTGCTTGTCTCAGAATTCAGTTCATTCAACTTAACACAAAAGTTTTAGCTAATATAAGATACTACTAGCCATTGTTAGGATAAATGTCAAAATAAAATCTTGAATTTCAAAGAAACATACCAAAATAAATTTATTCTATGTACTACAAACTGCATATGAACTCAATATTCAAGACCTGACATATCTATAATAAAAAAGTGATATTTTACAGTATAGTATGTGTATTAGTCAGCTTGGACTTCCATAACAAAATACACAGACCGGGTGGCTTATACCACAGGTATTTATTTTATTGCAGCTCTGGAGACTAAGTTCAAGATCAAGGCGCTAGTAGGGTTAGTGTCTGGTGAGAGCTCTCCCCGCTGGCTACAGATGGCCACCTTCTCACTGTGTGGTCACATGGCCCTTCCTGGATGTGACCCCAAGAGGAAAGTGTGAGCTCAGTGTCTCTCAATCTTTCTTAAAGACACCGAGCCTATCAGACTCGGGCTCCACCCTCATGACCTCATCTAACCCTAATGACCTCCTCAGTGCCCCACATCCAAATACCGTTCCACTGAGAATTAGAACTTCAACATCTTGGTTTTGGGGCACACCAACGTTCAGTCTGTAACAGTAGGTTAAGGAGTATGTTGGTAGGTTCATTAGTAAATAAGAAAGTTGAGGCACTACTGTGTGCAGAAGAAAGAGGAATCTTGTAAGAAAACAGAAGAGTGTTTGGGCATACTTGTTAGTAAAGCTTAATTCAAAACAATGTCAGATTTAAAAAATCTGACTACAGAATTATTCTCAAAATTTATTTTCATATCACTCATTGTTTTGTGACTCAGATTCTCTAATTTATGGCAGTAAAATATCAAAGCAAAATCAACTGGATACCACTATTTTGATACATCTCGGGTTTTTATACCCAAGCTTTAATTTGACAGGTTATATTGTCTGAATGAAAATTTTCTATAGTCAAACCTACCAATAATTTAAAATTAGTTAATCCAAATTTTAAATGACCTTTAGTTTCTCTTACTGTAAAACAAAATAACAAACCTCTACATGTTTCAATAGTTCCTTTAGAAATTGCAGAATTATATGTTATATCCTCACATACAACAGTAGGGTACAGCTATGTCCACTAGTTTTAATTATAAGAAAAGTATAGATAACTGTAAGGCCACGCTTTATTATTTTATAAATGAACCAGTAAGGCTCATTTTAGTGAGATGAGCACAGGCTTTTCATAAATTAAAATAAATCTCACATGGTAAAGTATCCATTTTCAAAATTAATTTAATTACATGTTTAAAGTTTAATTATATTTAATTAAGCATTTAAGTTTAATATGAAATAAATGAATTATCGGTTAGCCATTATGAAATGAAACACTGCCTTGATAATTAAAATCTATACATTTTCCTATTTTGTGTGTAAAAATGCAAGTTCTCAAAAAAGATTGTGCTGGCCTCACCCGGGGCCCACTGACTGCGGCTGTGGACAGCGGCCGCCTCGCTCAGGAAAGGGCAGAGGTTCGGGAGACTTGGGTTTGGGCGTCGGCTCAGTCACTGGGAGTCAGTCAGTGATGGGAAAGCTACTTAGTGTCTCTGACTTCAAGTCTCCTAAAGCTCTGGGACAATATTATTTTTCTTGGAAGGCTGTCGGGAGAATTAGTTATTCTATGGTCCAATGGCTGGAACAGTTCCTGACATGCAGCAGGTTTTCGACAAGTGTTAACTCCTCCTCCCTTCGGTTGTACAATGAATGAACAAAAACCTTGTACTTTCTGGCTCAGAAAAAGTTTTATGCTTAATATATACATATATTTAATTACAAAGTATCATCACATTATTTTTTATTCACTTACATCATACTTAATGTACATTTCACATTTTTTATTTCTCCTAAATAGTCCATGAATGGAGGCAGTGTAGCATTATTGCTAACAAAGGTTTCTGAGTCAAAAAGAACTGACTTTGAGTCTGGGTCCCACCATTTACCATGTAAGAAATCATGGAAAATTTATATTTTTTAAGATTTTATTTATTTTTAAAGAGAGGGGAAGGGAGAAACATCAATGTGTGGTTGTCTCTTGTGCACCCCTGGCCCCCACCCTCCCCACACCCCTACCACCCCCCAGTATCCCCCACCCCACAACCCAGTCATGTGCCCTGACTGGGAAACAAACTGGTGACCCTTTGGTTCGCAGGCCTACGCCCAATCCACTGAGCCACACCAGCCAGGGCTGGGAAAGTTATTTTAACCTTCCCAGGCCTGTATATGTTTTTGTCTGGTTCACTGAATAACAAAAATTAGGAACCAGTAAAATCAATATAATCATTCAAACTTAACAAAAAACATTAGTGATGCAGGTAGAATAAGTGATATTCCTCCAGACCTCAATTTTTCACAGAAAGATACTGATTTTCACAGAATTTAAGGGATTTGCCCAAAGTTAACAGTAGGACAAGCTCAGTATCAAAACCCAGACTTATAAATTTCTTTGTCAGCACTCTGTCCTCTGTAACACAGGAAGAAGGTAAAGGTGAAGGACATGAAAATCTTTTGAAGCTGTTGAGCCTCAGATAAATCTCTTTTGTGAATTTCGGTATCTTCTTCTGGAAAATGGGAATATTTCTTTTATAGGATAGATGGATGGCAAAGGTGAATATATACTATGGTGACTGACACACAGCAGCCCCTCGTTCACAGGCTAGAGAACACGACGAGGATGTGCAGAGTTTACTTTTCAAACAGATTTAATGAAAATAAATAGGACAGTTGTCACTGAATTCTTACGTAATATTTCTGGGAAAAAGATGATAGATTTTTAAGTCATTTCAGCTCACAACTTCCTGTCTATTAAATCTCCATTTAATAACTGGTCTCACTTTGAAAATAGTGGTTTTACAGTGCGAAAGAAAATAGAGGTGACAACAGATTCCATGGACTAACTTCCCTTGATTCAACTGCAATAAGGATAAAATTAAATATTCTTAACTTTTATAAATTATTCAGTGTCAAGTATTGTACTTCTCACAGTTTTGCCTTAAAATAGTAGCACTGGTTTAATACTTAAAACTCTTCACTGTAAAACTCAAACCCTAAGTTCTCTTAAGTCATCTAAAAAATAGATTGTTTTATTTACAGCATTACTGGAAACAGAAAACCATAATAAATGAAATAATGGAAAACATGCATGTGTTTAATTTCTGAAACAGCATTTATTGCTGTTTTACTGAAACATGGAACAATAACATTATTTTATACTGTTTTGCTGCTATTGTTATCAATAAGTAATATTTAGGCATTATTTGCACTTTATAATTGAGAGACTCTGATTCGGAAGTGTTTTGAATTTTCTTGAAAATAAAAACAGCAGGTATTGCAATTTGGTGTCCAGACATTTTAAGTTGCAAATTAAGAGGTAACAGCATGTCCAAAGGTTATAAGGCCAGAAAAAGTAAACTGTGATACAGGGTGAGAACAGTTGGTTTACAGGTTTGAGTACATAAAAGTGAGTTTATTTTTGTATTATTATTTATTAGTTATTGCATCATTTTTCCATATAAACTGTAAACCTCCTTTTCCCCCACCCTACTGTATAATGAAATAATAAGAAACACATGCACAAATACGCACAATTAAGGCTACATATTATGTAGATTCTAATATCTATTATTAGGAGATGTACTTTTGATATGAATTCTTTCAAAGAATGTGGTAAGAATATATTCTATCAACCTTTGAAATAAAAATTGGGTCATGAACTTACCAGGGCTCTATATTAACAGTTGCAGGCACTTTTTCTGGAAGAAAAAATCCATGCCATTTTGAAGCCTTAAGTAGTTCTTGTGGTATTTTTTTTGATGCATCATAATAGTGACCAAATCTTGACGATGATACTGGTCCAGCCTATTAATAAAACCCATATTTGTTGTTAAAACTATATTTAAAAAATAGAATTTATTTGTCCTACACTCAGCAAAATGATGATCTATTTATGCATTTCAATGCAAATAAGAAAAAAACTGATGTACACAGGCATTAAATTTCAAAGAAGCATATACCACAACCTTCGTTATTTCAATCTGTGTAGTTAGAAATCAACCTTTTCATCTCCCAACTCCAGGTTTTATGGACAAATATGTAGTAGCTAAGAATCAATGAAAACTTAAGCTGAATTAATTCATGGTGAGGGGCCCAAAAGAAACTAGCTACTTAAGTACAGTAAATGGAACATCACTTTTAAACTAAATTTTCACCAGACAGTGTGTATGTATATTTTATATAATATACATACAAATTACTATGTATGTATTTGCATGTATACAATTACTATTGTATGTACAAACAATAGTAAGCTTATAGTATAAAAAGTACTAGGGTCCTCCAGCTGGGAACAGAACACAATGTAAAGTGGGAGAATACATGTAAGCTGCAATAGATAAATCAGAAATCTGGCACAATCACTGACAATTCCACCAACACATTAGTTTTCTCTTAAGAAACTCTAATAACTACCGATGCTGAATTTATTTACACAGGATAGTAAAGTCCTAGTAATGTAACATTATTGCTTTGAAGGAACTCTGGGCTGATTTCTTTCAGAACATGAGAAATATATCCACCTCTATCCAAAGCTGAGCTAGTAACAGGTTCCACCCGGCATTGGTTTCTCATGAAATCTTTGATCTAAATTTACATAATTTCAACTGTCCTGAATGCGATGAAACAGACAAGTTTTGGAACATTCAACAAACTAGGGAGCCTCTGCAGAAATTGAAGAATTATACACAATAAAATCTTAACATATTTTACTAAGGAATTAACAACTTTGTAATTTAGATTAGAAACAGACATTTGCTCAAGACTAGATATTTGCATTTTTAAGACTTTAAGGATTCATATTCTTAAATTAAATGCCTACAAACATCAAATTATACAGTAACAGAGGATAAAAAACATTTAAGCTGAGTAGAAACATTAGTCTCAGATTCAGTCTGTGGCTTTAATATTTATTTTCTAAATAAAATGATTGCTCATCCCTCCATAAGGTACTCTTTAATTTTCATCAATGAAAGAGACTTATTAATTGGCTTAATTTAATCTTTCCAATACAATACACAGAAGTATGGTTCCCAAAAGATGATTTATCTGTTTACCATGAAAATACTGACCAATAAATTATGTGACATTAAAATTTGTTTCTTAAAAACAGGGTGTAAAATTTTAAAATGTAAAGTTATTAGTCTAAAGCAATTTAAACAAGGTCTGTTCTTTGGCCTATAATCTATTCTTTATCCGGATTATAGTTCAGAATGTTTTTACTGCAATCTCTGCTAGAGCTCATCTTTTTATTGTGTAAGTCCAGGCCCCCTTAATGTTTTAGAAAGGCCTTGACTAACTGAACTTTGATCTGATGTCTTCATTGAGAAAAACACCAGGTTGCCCATTTCAGATGCAAATCCCTCTAAGGCCCAATAGAATTTAGTAAAGACAGCAAAAAAAGAAGAAACAAGAAGTTTCCAGGATCCTCTTTGAGAATCCTGGGGCACGCTGGTGTCCTTAATCCATACTGCCGCATGGATTAAGGTAGGTGATAACCTTTCCTGATTCAAAAGAATAAACAGAGTGCCTACAAACTGGGTGGAGACTAGGATTTGGTAATAATAAAACACCATGCAATAAAAGCTTGGTCTATGTCAGAAGCCTCTGAAAAGGCCTCAATGTACCACATTCCCAGGCCTAGTAGGGAAGCTTGCAAAAGCCTACCTGAATCAAATAAGCATGAATAATCTATTTTAGCAGGCTGGCCATGGGGAGAGTGAAAGAAAGGGAGACTTTTCACTTCTTTTAAGTTTGAGTTAATAAATTTATTAGTGAACTGAAGGTTCTTGAAGTCCTGTGCACTCAGAGAAATATGCTAAATTGTCAAGAAGCAAAGTCTGCTTTTAAAGCTGCCAGTCTCTATTAATGTTTCTAATTTTTAATATTAATGTGATAGAAATCTCAGATTTGGAATGAATCAAGGCAAAAAACTGATTTCATGCTGTGACAGTTTATATATAGAACACATACAATTCATTAAAATGAAAAAAATTTGGAGGCTTTTATTGCAATTTTTAATTTTTTAGAAAGTAAGATAAGAAACTAAAATACTGACAAGACACTGAATATTTTATTAGTGATAAAAAATTTAACCCTTCAATAAAAAATGAAAACTAAACATACTCTTCAAGGAAAAAACCATTTTATAAGTTTTTCTACCCAAGAGACCTAGCATTAACATAGAATCAAATTTTTGAAATGATGTGAAACCTTTTGAGGCCTAGAATTATAAAACAAAGACGTAAATATTTGTCTGAAAAGGATAACTAATTATTACATCTAATAATAATAAAAATACATGAAAAACTCTCTACACACAAAAAAGATATGTTAAAAAATTAAGCATCGACAACTAGTCAGTTTACTCAGTTTAATAAGAACATCTTGCTTTAGTTTTACATTATGAAAATTATTTCACATCCATAAACTACCCATTCACTTGTTGACTGTGGAAGAGAGTAAAAATGATTCAGTAAAAATTCACTCTGGTAAAGTAAACAAACTCTGATGGGGGGAGGGACGACCCTCCCCCTCCACTAGGTCAGAAAGAAACAAAACTGAGAGAAAAGCTGCACCACAAATAAACAATCTACATAAGACATTTTCCTACTATTGGCACCGTTTCTTATTTCTCGGTATGGCACAACAGGAAGCAAGAACCCAAATGGTTACTAAACCATTTTGAGCCTCAGTTCAAGCACCAGAATTAGAGCTGATAACTCTTTCACTGGGCTGTTGTGAGACTCTGATGCAACACTGGCAGCGAATTTTCTGTAAGATGTAAAGCACTATTGTAAATATTATTATTATTGTGCCATGATCCACTAGCCATCAGAAGATTCATTATTCTCTTTTGTAATTACATTGCGTTATTGAAAAAATGCTATCTGTTATCATCTACAACATGCACACATCTGTCACAGCACTGTTGTGGCTGAAAAACTAGGACAGAAAATCGAAGTGTAATGAACTGAACTTGATAAACATCCACTGTGCAGCCATGAATTGCTGGAGTCATTTGTGGGCCTTTGCAGTAGTAGAGCTCTACAACACTGAAGAAGCTGGGGATCAGACTATGCTGCAGGCTGGCAGTTCTTGGGGTGAAGAGAGGGCAGGGCTTGATGACTGGACAGGAAAGAAGAGGACAGTGCACTTAGTGGACAGGATCAAAATCAAGGGCCGGGGGACATGGGTGGGCCTTTGAAAACTACACGCCCCTCTAACTGGAAGCACTGGCTTTCTGCTTTATTGAGCTATTGTTATTGATTTAGTTGTGCATATTTTATCCTCTTTTTGGCATTCTCTAAATGGAAATATTACTATTTCTACTCTTAGCACTCAATGACAACCTATATTCAAAGACCTACCTGATAATCAACACAGCAAGTTTTGGACTACTTGTTTAACCTTTACTCATTATAGTGTTAACTATATTTTAGCCCAAGCAAAATACAAAAAAACCCAGAGTTTAGTTGGTATTGTTTTTTAACTGGTAATGGCAAAGTAAGGTCTGGATTTATAAAGTAGATGATGATGAGTGATCACCAATGCCTATCAGTCTTGGCAAATCGCCACATACAAAATTTTTGTGACAAGGAAATAAATGTTGGCAACATTTCAAAGAAAAGCAAAGAAGCCAGAAGATGATTCCTCTATTCTAAACTTGACAGAACTTACCTGTAAGTATAAATTTAAGTTTGACCATTGACTATAAGCCGCTCTTTTATTGTATTAATTAATGCAACTTAACTAAGTTTCACATTTAATTCGCAAACTATATAATTCATTCACTTGCATATTCAACAAATAACTATTGAGCACCCACTGTATGCCAGTAAAACAAAATAGTCCAAGTCCCTCTCTCTTACTGAGCTGACATTGTGGTAGAGCAGATAGATACTGTATTATAAGTGCCCTGAAGAAAAATCAGACAGTGAAAGGAGATGACAGAGAGGGTGGTTTTATTTTATATTAAGTGACAAAGGAAGACATTCCTGATAAAGTGATATTTTAGTGGAGACTGAAAGAAAATGGGAGAATAAATCATCTGGGAAAGACCATTGTAAGAAAAGCACAGTTTTTAAAACAAGTTGAAAATCTTGAAAACTGAGCACTGGCTTTGTGTGCTAATGTCACCTCAGAAATCTATTCCCCTGGACCAAACGATGCAGGCACATCACTCTGAATGGAAGGATGGAATAAGGACTGCTCACTTATATGTAAAAGGCGGGGGGCAGGAGTATCATCTACAATTACAGTATAAAAAGAAACAATGAATTATAAAGAAACAAAAATCTTTCTCTCTAACTTTAAACAAATTTTATGATAAGCAGCGAGAAAAATTGCTTCAAGATTCAGTTAACTGCATTTTCACTTGAAGAATGTTACTACCAACAGAAAGACCAAAACCTAGTGAGGGAAGAGTAAAAAACTAAAGGAAACAGAAGACACAGTGATTTATATAATCTAAAACTGAATAGGTATACTGTCTTTACAAAAAAAACTATGATTTAGAGCTTACATTTTCATTACTCTTTGAGAACACACCAGTGGAAAAATCAGAAAAGTCACTCCTTGCAAGAATCACTGTTAGAACAGACTGATGGTTGCCATTTGGGGGTGGTGGTGGTAGTTAAAGGACTAGGTAAAAAGGGAAGAGATCAATAAATACAAATGGTACTTAGAAAATAGTCATAGTGATGTAAAGTACAGCACAGGGAGTACAGTAATTAATATTGTAATAATTGTGTCTGATGACAGCTGGGTACTGGAAATATTGTGGGGAACACTTTGTAAAGTATGTGATTGTCTAACCTCTATGCTGTTCACCTGAAACTAATATACAATAATAATCAAATGTAAACTGTAATTGAAAAATAAAATAAAAAGAGTCTTTGCTAAGCCCAGTTACTCAAATGAATCTGCCAGATCGAAGACACAAAGTTCTTTGCCATTAGGCTTCTCAAGTGCTAATTCTATGTTCTTCATCTGTTCTAAACTCTATCACTCAATTCGCATTTTCCTAAACAGAAAAACTACAGCTATTCTGGCCTCTTGTACCCAATTCCCAGGCACCTCCAAGCTAGGCTACGCCTATGAAAACCACTGATTACACAGAGTTTCCTTTTTTTGTTTTTTAATACAAATGTGTGGCATTCTACTGTAACACCGCTACTTATTTAACTAGTTGCTTACCGACAGATATTTAGATCCTTTCCAATCATTTGCTATTTAAAAATAGCAAAAATATGTTGCATAAAAAGCTCATATATAATTAATCTTATACTGTGTAAATATATTCATCAGGTAACCTTCCACAAAAAAAGATCAAAGGATATATGATTTTGTAATTCTGAAGGTTACTACCAAATGAACTTTCACAGAAGTTGTACCTACTTACACTTCACCAGCAAAGTGTGAGAGTACTAGTCCCGTCCACCCCCACCCCACCTAGTTAGCGTTTTACCAAACATTTTAGATTACTGACAGTCTGATGAGAGAAAAATGGCAAGTCGGTGTAGTTTTAATTTGTATTTCTCTATTGTAACTGAAATTGGGCATCTGTTTTCATACGTTTAAGAGTCACCCGAATTTCCTTTTCATATTTTTGCCCATTTTAAAAATTTCATTGAAGACCAGTATTCCTTATTCAATTTAGAAGTTCTTGAGATACATGGAAATTTAGTTCTTATTCTGTTATATGATTTGTAAATGTCCTCTCTCCAGTTTGTAGTTTGTTCCTGGTCATTTAAATTACAGCTTAAAAATCATATTATTCAAATATCTTTCCTATCTAAATTAGAATAATTTACTGCTGCTTAATCTATATCTATTACAACGTATTTTATATTTGGTACACAGTTGATGCTTAATCAATATCTGCTGACCGAGTAAATAGATTTATCATTCACTAAATATTTATTGAGTATGTGGGTATTAATACAGTGCTGGAGATAGAGAAAATGAAATAAGATCTCGGCCTTTATAGAGAATTCTGTCTGGGGGAGAAGAGGGTTATACTGACAACTATAAAACAATGTATACAAGTACTTTAAAGTGTATGAAGTGCTATGGAAACAAAAATTAAAAAACTAAGCAATTACATATGGAAAGCTGTCAGAGGTAGTAACATTTGCACTTGGAGAAGGATGAGTTGATGAATAAAAAAGTGAAATCCTTTAACAGCAGAAATCTAAGCAATTCATAAGGAATGATTCTCACAAGATGGGTGAATATAATGTTTTATATGTACACATGTAGAGCAAGCTAAAATGGTAGGCTTGAATTAAATTGTATAGGTCTTGTATGCAGCCTTGAAAAATTTATATTTCATATTATAGGCTGATAATGACAACCAGGTTTCATCTCATATACCTCTAAATCTCATCAACTGGTGTGATGATCCAGCCCACTCTACAGAAAATTCTAAGGTTGCATCTAAGCTTTGCAGGAGGGTACTATGACTGACAATCTGCCAGGAATTCAGAAGGAGGCAGTGGAAACAGGAAAACAAATTAGGCATTTGCAGTTTAGCAGTGTTGTAAACATACTTCTTCTGTCTGTGCTTGGGAAAGCTAACACTGATCTCAATGTGGAAGACTAGAGAAGAATGGACTATGGGAATTGTGTTGTATTCAGCTAGAATCCCTCCCTCCCTCCCTCCTCCCTCCCTTCCTCCCTTCTTTTCTTTCTTTCTACCAGTATGATAATCTCTGGTGGACATTACAGTATTCCAAAAATTAGTGAAGCAAACGAACAAATGAGGGAGATAACAGACGAAAAGAGCCTTCAATCGGAACAGGGTCATGAGCTTTAGTGGCCAGATTTACTGACATCTGGCTTTGATTTCTCAGAGATTTACCCCTAACTTTCTTCTTTGTCAGTACTGGATAGGACCCATTATGAGATATCTGAGTTTGGAAGTTTAGTGGTTGGAAAGGTATACAAATAAAAATAGTAATTCCAAAGAACTATGACTTACATTGAATATTTGGAAGTGATCATGCTGGATACAAATAGCTTTGTTAGTTATCATTAAAATGTCCATAGTACCCAGTGCAATCTATAGTGTCAAAGCAATTCCTATGAAAATAGCAACAGAGTATTTCATGAACTAGAACAATGTTCCAAAAGACCCCAAATAGGCATAGTGATATTGAGAAAGAAGAACAAAGTTGGAGGAATCATGCTACTGATATCAAACTATATTACAAGGGCCGTAGTAATCAAAACAGTATGGTACTGGCATAAAAACAGACATGTAGATCAATGGAACAGAACAGAGAACCCAGAAATAAACCTATGCCTTTATGGTCAATTAATATTTGACAAAGGAGGCAAGCATACACAATGGAACATGACAAAGGAAGCAAGCATATACAAGCAAAGGCAGTATATTTAATAAATGGTTTTGGGAAAATTGGACAGATGCATGCAAAATAAAAATGAAACAAGACCATCTCTCACACCATACATAAGAATAAACTCAAAATAGATGAAAAACTTAAATCTAAGACTCAAAACCATAAAAATCCTAGAAGAAAACACAGGCAGTTAAATCTCAGATGCTTATCATAGCAATATAATTTTTTATATATCTCCTCAGGCAAGAGAAACAAAATAAAAAATATACAAATGTTACTATATCAAACTAAAAAGGTTTTCCACAGTAAAGGAAGCCACTGACAAAATGAGAAGATGACCCACTGACTGGGAGAACATATTTGTCATGATATACATGATAAGGGGTTAATATTCAAAATTTACAAATAACTCAGAAGACTTAGCACCAAAAAATCAAACAATCCAATTTTAAAAAGGGCAAAGGAACTGAATAGACACTTCTCCAAAGAGGACTTACAGATGGCCAATACACATATAAGATGCTCAACATCACTCATCATCAGAGAAATGCAAATTAAAACCACAATGCCATACCATTTCACTTGTTAGAATGGCTACCATCAATAAATCAACAAACGATAAGTGTTGGTGAGGATGTGGAGAAAAGGGAACCTTCATGCACTGTTACTGGGAATGCAGATTGGTACAGCCACTGTGGAAACCAGTATGGAGTTTCCTCAAAGTATTAAAACTGGAACTGCCTTATAACCCAGTGATTACACTTCTGGGAACATATCCGAAGAAATCTGAAATATTAATCCAGAAGAATATATGCACCTATGATTACTGTAGCACTATGATCACTATAGCACTAACTACAAGAGCCACGATTTGGAAGCAGCCCAAATGCCCATCAGTAGATTGGTGGATTAAAAAAGCAGCGGTACACAATGGAGTACTACTCGGCCATAAAAAAATAAAAAATAAATAAAAAAGGAAATCTTATCCTTTGTGACAGCATGAACAGACCCGGAGAGCATTATGCTAGGTGAAATAAGCCAGTCAGAGAAAGACAAGTACCATATGATTTTACTTATACGTGGAATCTAATGAACAAAATAAACTAACAAACAATAAAAACAGACTCATAGATATGGAGAACTCAGATAGCTGTCAGAGGGAGGGGGTTTAGGAGGTTGGGTGAATAGGAGAAGGGATTAAGCAAAAACAAACAAAATAATTCACGGTATTACCAGAGGGGAAGGGGGTTGGGGGCAGACAGTAGAGGGTGAAGGGGGGATACATGGTGACGGAAGGAGACTTGACTTGGGGTGGTGATCACACAACACAACATACAGATGATGTAGTGTAGAATTGCACACTTGAAACCTGTACGATTTTATTGACAAATATCACCTCAATAAATTCAATAAAAAATAAAAAGAAAAAATATGGCTTTGTTAGTTCACTTACTCTGGCTTGAAACCTTAGATTAAAAGATTCTATATGAAGATTATGGGACAAATGAAATAATATTCTTTGGTTTAAAAATCCCAATTTGCCATAATTTTATTTTTAAGAAATATGTCATCTTGATCAAGTATGCTATAAATATCTATTTAAATAAACAAATATACATTGTATTGCCCTCAAAGATAACAGTTATACAAGAGATTCCATAAAATGAAAACAACTGCATTTGAAAATTTTAGAAATAGCTTGTATGTTGACTTGCCTCCATCTTGGGTAATAGCTGATAACGCCAAGCTATTTTCATCTTAATGTTAGAGTCCGGTGCTTTCTGATCACCCGCATCTTCATCGAATTCTTTTTTACAGCTATCATCAAGTAACGGTGCAGGAAGTTCCTGAGAAAACAGAATGATACATTACTGAGCATGTGTGGTAAAAACTATGATAATTTTCTTAAATAATATTACCAATACTAGAATATTTCAATGTAGTAAAAATTGATGCCTTAAAATTGGTTTAAGTATAACATAACAAAAGAAACCTAAAACAAGAGAAAAGGAGTAAATAGAATTTAAATAAAAAATTCAAATTTTTATAGTAACCAAAATCAACTGCTATTGCAACAAGAAGCTGTGCTTATGTTTTAAATGTATATATACACTTAAAGTAGAGTCTCAAGTCAGTATTTACATATTACATGCAATTATTGTTATGTCTGCCACAAGGTAAAAGCAAAGGTTGTGTGCAATCTGTTTATAATTCTAGAATTCAAAAAACTTGTTCGCTAAAATACTGGGTGAAGAAATAGCTAGGAATAAAGACATTTATTTTGTCCATAGCAAACATTAGTTTTGCACCTGCAAGCTTCTGCCTCTTCTTTAAACAATAAAAGCAAAATTTTAAATCTCTGATTAAATGAAGAGATGATGAATTCCAATTTTACCTTTTTTGGGGGGAAGCTGACCTACTGAGTGACTACAAAAAACATAGAAGACTTTATTTTTGGTGAAAATGTACTATAGAAATAATGCAAAGAAAAAAAGTATGTAAGTTTCCTGGAGAAGGAAAGCTCATCCAATAATTGTATCTTTTATTAGCCAGACTCATAAAGATAATGTGGGGTACTAGATTAATAAACATAATCTTGTACTATACCATTAATAGTCTAAATTTCAGCTTTTGCTTTTCAGGATCAGATTTATTTATACTTAGAATCAAGTCAATTAATCAGCTGGAAAACATACTAAGCATCATATATTTCAGTCACTTCCTAAAAGACCTCCAAATAGATTCACAGTTTAATTTATGCCAGTATTAGAAACTAGTTATATCATTTAAGCTATGAATCCATCATTCCTAACCACAGCATATGTATCTTACAAAATATAAAGTAACTTCTTTTGCTGATGGAAGCAAATATTTGTGAGGTGTATAGTACAATACAGAATATTGGTTGTGAGTTTGAATTCAACAAGACTGTTTAGGACCAAATCTTGATTTTATGTACTAGTAGCTTTACCTGTGATTATGTCACACACCTACGGGACTTCTCTATGTTTCCATTTATCACTTGAACAGTGAAGAACAATGTATTTGCTTCACTGGATTGTTGTAAGGAATAAATAACTTAAAAATATAAAATATAGAGAATGGTGCGTGCTGCATATTAAGCACTCAGTAAATGCTTAATTATAAGAATTCAGTAAAATAATTGTCTTAACCATTACTCAGGGCTACACATTTGGACTGTCAATACCAGATAATAGTACAAATATTTGGATTAACATGGCTTTTCAATCTCAGGGACACTCAGTAATATTGTAGTCTGACAAAGGTATAGCATTAAAAAAATAAAAAAAGCCACACTCTCCCACAATAATCATTAACGTTAAGTAAACAACATTCATGGCATATGAGGTCTGTTCGGAGGGTATCCAGACACACAATATGAAAAATAGAGATAGTTATTGAAGAAGATACAAGATACAAGAAACACTGTACATAGGATAATGATGCCTCAGTGCCCTTCAAAATAGGCACCTTGCGACCTCACACAGTTCTCCCATGCACCATCAATTACCCCACAGTATTTTCCTGAACCTATGGACCGTCTGAAATCTCTTCTCTTTCAAAGATGATTTTAGTTTTGGGAAAAGCCGGAAGTAGCAGGGCACCAAATCTGGGCTGTAGGGAGGCTCAGTCACCTGGTGATTCACCAGAAAACTCTGCATGAGACTCGATGCATGAGCAGACGCATTGTTGTGATGAAGCTGTCAATCACCAGTTGCCCACAGGTGAGGCCTTCTGAATCATCTGAATAGTTTCCATGGAGGAATGTTCAAGCTTAAGGCAAAATCTGACGCAGACTCGTTGCTGTACTCACTCAGTCATACTGGATGTGATGGCTACACAGTACACATGCTCACCCAATGGTGTTTATCACCCCCACTGACTAGTTCAGTGAAGTCATCATTGTTCATACATGCATGTTGCAGTCCACTCTCCTTGGCTGCACAAATCATTCTCATTATATTAACACTGGCTGGACTTTTTATGGACAGACCTTGTATACATATGTATTTATATCTATCTATCTATAGATAGGTTTATTTTTAGAGAGAGAGGAAGGGAGAAAGAGAGGGAAAGAAACATTGGTGTGTGAGAGATACATTGATTAGTTGCCTCTCACATGCCCCCACCTGGGACCTGGCCCACAACGCAGGCATGTGCCCTGACTGGGCATCAAACTGGCGACCCTTTGGTTCACAGGCCAACACACTCAATCTACTGAGCCACACCAGCCAGGGCTAAAGTACAAAATTATTAATAGCATTTTATCATATACTATAGATCTAGATAGATAAATCTATAGATAGATATAGATAGGTATATTACACAAAATCCTTCTGTAAAAGCATACCTATCTATATCTATCTATATCTATCTAAAGATCTATCTCTCTGTAGACAGGTATATTACACAAAATCCTTCTGTAAAAGCAGTATATGATAAAATGTTATTGTTCTTGAGTTCTCTTCATTGATACCTACACTTATTTAACAGTGTCGGGAAGGTACAAGGCACAGAGCAGTGAACAAAATAAAGTCTTTGCTTCCATGGAGTTACATCCTAGGATAGTAACATGAACTTGAAGTAAAAACAGGAAAGGAACACAGAGTAATGGAAGGCGGTGTTACTTTAAAGAGGATAGTCCATGAAGTTCTCCTTGAGGAAATAAATGAGATACATTTTTACTTGACTAACATTTTGGTTGGACATTATATTTCTTAATATTTTAATTTGCTTAGAAGTTGGTAGATATTTCTTTACTGTCTTTGGACAAAAAAATGGTGCTGTAGGGAAGTCTGAAGGATTCCACCCTTGTAGACTTGCTTTTCCTGCCTGAACACCTGAACAATTTTTCTTTTATCTTTGTAGTTCAATAGCTTAAAAGACTAAACTTACATGGGGGTACTGCTTTGTATTCTCTCCCCCTTGTAAACTAGATGCCCCTTTAATTGAAGATTCTGAATTTGAAGTAAAATATTTTCATGTCTCAGGTTTAAAATTATTTTTCCAGTCCACAATGAAATAGAAAATACCTTTGTGTATCATCGACAGTTACAAAACATCACACAGGAAACAAAATGTTAGATGAATAAATGTTTCCCCATCTTCTAGACCAGCGCTGACCAAGAGAATTTTCTGTGATGTTGGAAATGTTCTACACTTGTGCTGTCCAATACAGTAGTTCCTGACTATTTAATTTAAATAAAAATGTTTCCACATTGTAATTATATTCTCATTTGTTTCAATCTCTTTTCTCTAACTTCACTGTGACTATCACAAGCCTGTTCCTTGTTGCTACTATATTTGGCAATAATATTTAAGTCGACTTTTATTTTTAATTCTACAATTATCCTTTTTATCTACTTCTCTGGTTTTCTTATCTATTTTCAATATTATTTTATTGAACTCATGTTCTGATTCATTAAACTTTTCCATAAATCTCTTACGGAGGAACTGCCTTCTGTTCTTGGATGAAGTTTTCTTCCAGATTGAGCTTTTCCTCTAGCTCTAGTTTGAGGGCTGAGTATTTTGATTTCTGCCCATTTTCCTGTACATTCATTCATGTTATGAGACTTGGGCAAAGTTATGCCATCTTTTCTTTTCCAGAAGACCAAGGTTCTTAATATTCTTATGAGATTTCTTTAAATGCCAATTTCCCGTGTTCAGTGAATATTTTATTCCCATTTGGGATGTGGTTTACTATTAGGGTTTAAATTATACACCCAATTCAGTGTTGCTTTCGGAAACATTTGCTTTAGTTTGAGACTACCAGTCCTAATTATTTCTTAAAATTATGCTAATTCACTGGTTTTTCTAGGTATGAGAATAAAGTTAGGAACTGAACCTAAGACTTGTTGGCCATGAACTTCAGAAATTTATGGCATTGGGTTGGGCCCTGATTTTTCTTGTTTTGTTCAGGACAACTGATTTTTTGGAGTATTTTAAATTATTTTTTGTTTGATAATGTAGGAAAGCATATGATACATATTTAGTACTCTCATATCTTAACCCCAAATCTCCACATACAATAATTCTTGCTAATATTTAGGAAAAATTTGGACAGAAAGGAATAATGGAGAAATAAACACCCATAGCTTTGCTATAAAAGAACTAATTGCATGTTCTGTTTAGAACATTTCAAACATAGAAAAACTGTCTTCTTATACATATTGTTTGGCAATCATTCTACTTCTAAATTAAATATATAAACTATTTTATAGTAAATTATTTTAGATCACTGGTTTTCAATTATTTTCCTGTCTTTACACATTCACATAGATAATATAATCCCATTAATATTTTATATTGCCTTGTGGGAGGAAAGCACAAAACTTTTGAAATGTTAAAACACAAGTCTGGAGATTCTCCACCCTTTCCTCTGGCCTACAGTCCTATCCTCAGGTGAAGAACATATAATTTTACTTCTAAAACAAGAAAATGAAAAACAAATAAGATAGTATAAAAACTGATATTCAATGAATGTATATCCAACTTGCCATACCTATCTATTTTCACGTGCAGTTGTCTACGGTTCCCCCCCAAAGATATTAGATATTAAGTAAAACATTCATGATCTGAATTAGTTTTGTTAATTTCAGGAATAAAAACACATCAGCATCATTTACACAACCACTGGTCTAGAATTATGTTACGCGTGACTATCAACCTGTGACTACTGAAATTCAAGCGTCTCATGCACTAGCCACATTTAAAGTGCTCCACATGCTGCCAATGGCTGTTCCATAGGGCAATGCAGGTGGTGAACATTTTCAACATCACAGAAAATTCCATCCATCCAGTGCTGGTCTAGGAAAATTTTTAAAAT